TTTATTTGTTTTTGTAGGAAAGTATGATTCTGGGCTTGACGAGAAAATGATTTTTATTTTTTTGACAGGAATAGACGATTTCTCAGTTTTCGCAGGAAAAATAAATTTATTGATTTTGGGGGAAAAATACAATTTTTTGGTTTTTGCAAGAAAATGATTTTTTGGGTTTTGTGAAAAAACGTAATTTCTCGGCTTTGGTGGAAAAACACAGGTTCTGGCGGGAAAATGAAATTTTAGGTTTTAGGTTTGACGAGAAAATGAATTTTTTAGTTTTGGCGGCAATAGGCGATTTCTCAGTTTAATAGAAAAATAAAATTTTTTTGTTTTGACAGGAAATGCGATTTCTCAATTTTTGTAAGAAGATGAAATTTCTCTGTGCTAAATTTCCAAGTTAAAATATGTTTACAGTAACCAAAATTTAATTATTTAACTTTAACTAAAACAATATTTTAAGAGTTCAAACATAATTTTCTATTTAGTTCTATAGCAATAGCAATGTTTTTGATATGAATGTTATTGATTATAGTTTGGTAGTTTTAAAAACATATGTTTATAAAAAAAATATTTCATAAGTAAATAAATTTTATAATTCAAAATAATCATATTAATTAATAAATCTTTTTTATAAATGGTATTTTGCTTTATATAATTACAAAAGAGGATCAAGTGACAATTTATTGGAGAAAATATATTACATTTGTCATTAGCATAAAGGTACTAAAAATGTATTAATTTATTTTTATATATTTTATTCCTATATATATATTTATAATTAGTTAGCTAACTAAATTTAATAGCAAATTATAATTTTGAAAAAAAAAAAAAATATATATATATATATATATATATATATAATATTTATTCAGATTTAAAACATATAAATACATAACTTAAGCTAATAAAAAAATAAATATAATACTCATTTATTTTATAAAAATAATTTTATTATATTAAAAATATATACAAAATTTAGAAAAATATCACGAAGCATAGCGCGGATAAATACCTAGTGTTCTTAAATTTTTATGTAAAAATTAATTATATTTTTGTTGTTTTGACTGTTTGAATTCTGAATCATATTATTTATTGATTGAACTGTTTTGGAATTGATAAAAAAATATGTTTTATTTTAAAAAAAATAGAAAATTAAATGATTTATTAACCTGTGCGCAGACTTCTAAAATATTTTTTAATAAAAAAAAAGAAAGAGTATTTTATAACAACAAGCAAGTTTTCTATTTAATGAAATTATTCCAAACGTTTTAGCAAGCATTCAGAAACCTTTCGAGAACTTCTTTCTATAAAAAATGTTGTAAGATTTCCCTAAATTGCAACATCTAATTCAGAAATTAACTGAAGATTAAGATATCATTTTTGTTTCAGAATATGAAGAAAACCAACGGGGACTTTATGTTTTTTTTATTAGGAATAAAGTTTCGATGTTTGAAAACCAAAACATATGTTTATGCTTAACTCATGTACAGTAACACATCTTCATCGATTAGACGGGAAACTAAACACAAGACTCCATTCACTATTATTAGTAGAGATTCGATTCGATATTGAGACAGAATATACACGCCATTCTTGAGCTCTCTTTGCTCCTAAAACGATGAAAGCATATCACATTTTCTTTTTCCCCACGCTCACCTGACATTTACAAACATTCTAAGGCAGGTTTCTCTTTTTTAAAATGAAAGGTGTTCCAGTTTCTCTTTTATAAAATAAATTATTTTCGAAGATTTTTACCAATCTGGACCCTTATGACATCTGAGACATGTAAAACTGTATATAACCAAACAAGAACCAATCAAAATGTGAGTACTTTCATTTATCAAAATATTTCCTTCCCATACATGCAAAATTCTTCCTACAAATTTCAGAAACCCATTCCTTTATATATATCATTTCTAAATTACGAAGCATTCTTAAATATTTAGAAACATCTTCTTAAAAAGTATGTGAATTGTTATTAAAAAGAGTGATTTGCCAAAAAAAAGTATTTTTTTTCTTAAATATTTAGAAACATCTTCCTAATCCAGCACAAAAAATTTAAATTTAAAAAGTATTTAGATCTTCCTAAATACTTTTTAAATCCAACACACCAATTCGAATTTAGAAATATCTTTTTAAATATAAAAATCTTGCTAAATGTGTATGAGTCATTTCTAAATTCATGAAGTCTTCCTAAAAATTAATGAATCTCTTCCTGAATTCAGGAAATCTTTCCTAAATTCAACATTACAAGAAAACAAACATTTTGCGACTACAGAGTACAGAATACGATTACGACGATAGTCGCAAAAATACACGACTGTCTCACAACTATTTAGCAACAAATAATGCAATTACAAACGTATAGTCGCAACATAGTCGCTAATTAGCAACTATAACATGTAGTCGTATATAACCAAACAAGAACCAATCAAAATGTGAGTACTTTCATTTATCAAAATATTTCCTTCCCTACATACATGCAAAACTAAAATCTCTTTAGAAGTCTTCCTACAAATTTCAGAAACCCATTCCTTAATATATATCATTTCTAAATTACGAAGCATTTTTAAATATTTAGAAACATCTTCCTAAAAAGTATGTGAATTGTTATTAAAAAGAGTGATTTGCCAAAAAAAAGTATTTTTTTTCTTAAATATTTAGAAACATCTTCCTAAAAATTATGTGAATTGTTATTAAAAAGAGTGATTTGCCAAAAAAAAGTTTTTTTTTCTTAATATTTAGAAACATCTTCCTAATCTAGCACAAAAAAAAATATATATTTAAAAAGTATTTACATCTTCCTAAATACTTTATAAATCCAGCACACCAATTCAAATTTAGAAATATCTTTTTAAATATAAAAATCTTGCTAAATGTGTATGAGTCATTTCTAAATTCATGAAGTCTTCCTAAAAATTAATGAATCTCTTCCTGAATTCAGGAAATCTTTCCTAAATTCAGTACTACAAGAAAACAGACATTTTGCGACTATATAATACGATTATGATGATAGTCGCAAAAATACACGACTGTCTCACGACTATTTAGCAACAAATAATGCAATTACAAACGTATAGTCGTAACATAGTCCTAATTAGCGACTATAACATGTAGTTGTAATGTAGTCGTATATTTACGACTGAGTTGCGACTAATTTGTGGCCGCTAAATATTAGTCGCAACATAGTCGTAACTATGCGACTATATTACGACTACAGGGTATGTCGGTAGAGTGCGACTAATTTGCGACTAAGTCTGTATGTAGTCGCAATATAGTCACAAAATAGTCGTAACTTTTGCCGACATAAAAACCGGTAAAACACGTTTTCTACGTTATGTGGTGGGTGTGACTTTCCTTGTAGTCGAAATATAGTCGCTTTGTAGTCGTAAATATTTCTATATATATCTTACATCGACTGTTCTCATTGCATAGAAACTACTCAGAGAAAGAGTTTGATAAAAAATGAGAAAGCGAGTATAAGTTTATTTTTTCGGTAGAGAAAAAAGTGATTAAAAAGAAGAGAGAATGTTTGATAAAAAAACAAAAGAAAAAATAAAGGAGAGTAATTTTTTTCTGTATAAAAGTGATTTGCCAAAAAAAAGAGTGATAAATTTTTTTCTTTTCTCATATAATGTCGGACAATTACAATTATAGTAATGATCGGGAGTGTATGTATAAAAGGATAAATAAAGAGACGGGAAACTTTTCTGCAGAAATGTCAAAAATGTCGTAAATGTCAGATGTGCGACTAATAAGCGACTACTTTTGCAATCATTAATTAACTGTTTTCTTGTAGTGCATGAAGCCTTCTAAAAGCCTCTCTGCCACACTTAGTAATTTTTTTTAACAAGCGATCGATGATCATTTGAACAATCTGAAGATCATTCAGACATCATTGGTGTCATGTTGGATTTGATGAATAAACAGATTTGATCAATAAAAAAAATTGAGATAAAAAGCTGAATCCATCGTAATAGAATCAGATGCTATTTGATTTGAATTTACATCTATGATAAACGATAATGAGAACTTTGTTGTTCCTTTTGTATGAGGACAGTTCTAAGACATAATAAGTTTTTTTCCTTAATTTTCCCATTATTTATATCTAAAAACAAAAGGCATTGGAAGTTGCTAAAAACGTAAAAAAAAATTGGATATATATGTTTACCACAAAAAGGTACCTTAAAAAGTTGGTCAAAGTTTGACTTCAACAAGTTGATCTTCCTCTTTTCCATCCTTAATCCTTATTGTTTTCTACAAAACACACAAAAATGCACAGACATATGAAAACACTTTAGCTACACATGAACAAAACTTAATGATTTATGAAAGGGAGGACACGATTCATGAAAGAGAGAATACGATCATTAAACATTTTCATAAAACCCTGATTTTAAAGGAAAACACGATCAAAATTTTTGTTTATGCAAAAATTATATGCAAGAATTATATGCACCCAAAAGCCAAAACGAGGAAGGTTCTTAACAGTTTGCAACTAAGGAACACCTTTACTAGTTTATTTGGCAAAGCAACTAACAGTTTGCTTCTAAAGCTTCCAAATGGGCAGAAAACAAATTCTAGACATTGTATAAATGTTCTATTTCCTAAAATATAAGGATGTTTTCTTAAAGAGCAGAATCGAAAAAGAGCAAATAAAAAATAGTAGAGCTGGAATATTTTTAGCATTCTTATCATTTTTAACCTAAAATCTTGTTTTCATGGTAAATATAAAAATTACATGCCCTTTATTTTATTTAGAAACAAAAAAGGCAATTCTCCTATTTTGTAGAAAATAAGTTTTCGGTTCAAAAATGACAGGGACACGTCGTACTCTAACATTTTTCATGAATTGGTTAACTATATTACCCTTCCTTCCAAAAAAAAAGAATTTTTGGAAACCTCTCTTCTCTCGTGAAACCCCAAAATTATGCTCGATTCCCCAATAAACTGAGATGAAGAGCACTTCCAAACTCTAAAATCCGACCTCTTTTGTTTTGGGAAGCATAACTCTCCACCTTAGATCATCAACAAAGGACAGCGACGGCGACAACAACTCTGAAGGCGACGACGAGAACGGGGACGAGGACAAACAGTAAGTTAGGTACTCCTCCTGAAACTACTTCTTCTCAACAAATGAGATCTTATATAGAATCAATTTCTTTCAATTGGTATTTAAGGTTTTTGAGTGATTTAGGATAGAGTTTTTGAGTGAGCGACGACGACGGCTATGAGGACGACAAAGAGGACTACGACGCAATCGGTTAGGTACTCCTTCAAAAACATTCTATGATTTGTTTTCAATTTTCAATTTACTTTGTGGATGTTTCTCTAACTAGTTTTGTTTTCAGAAGCATAACTCTCAATTTTTTAGATTAGTTCTGTTTTGGGTAGCATTACTCTCGATTTCGTGGATTAGTTCTGATTGTAGTTTTGATTTCGTGGCTTATGGAGTTTCATCAAATTTGGGACCAAATTCCTGAATTCTCAATTTTAATGAAGGATTCGAATTAGTTTAAGAAGGCCATCAGAAATTCATAAAATAAGCATTTTGAATAGCATCTAAAGATTATATTTCTATGGAGGTTGAAATGATTTTCATTTCTGTAGAGGTTGATATGATTTTCATTTCTGTAGAGGTTGATATGATTTTGGTGTTGATTGCTTACATGGTGATCTAAGAAACAAAGGGGAAATTGACAACTCTCGTCCAAGAATAGCTCTGTAGATTCGTAAATTTTTTATTTAAGGCCTTACTAATTTTTGATTTGGGAAAGCCTTCATGTATCTTAAAAATTTATGTTTCTTGTCAACCATTCTTGACATTTACTTGTTTAAAGAGATCGTATGATGGTTTAAACTTAAAAGAGAAGTGTTAATCCTTTCTGAAACTTCAGGAAGGCTTCTGTATGGTTTAGAAACCCGTTCCTGATCTGTAGTGTTTTAGGTAGGATTTGGGAAATATTTAAACTATTTAGTAAGGTCATCCTAAATTTATTCCATAGATGAGAAAAGTGAGACAAATATCATTGCATACACTGATATTCTTTTTTTTTTTTTTTTCTATTATTAACAAGTCAAATGGACGATTCATTTCCCTGTACTTACATCACACTGCCTAAACTATTTTAGGAAATGGGAAAAGAACCATAAGATCATTTCAAGTGCATAGTCAAGTATGCAATCTACATATACATCGATCAAGTTAAAAAAACTTTCGGGCCTCAGCAGTTTAAGAAGATTGAGAATTTTTTTTTGGTGATGTTTTGGAGTTCTCTTGAAGAAAGTTGTTTATGTCACGGAAAGATGATCCACACCCTTTTGACAAAGTGATGTAAGAGTTTACTCTACTTCAAATCCTACACATACTCATATCATTGTAGTATATAGGTTTTAATCCAAATGGATAAAGTAAACAATCAAGAATGCAATAGACTATCTAATTCAAGCAAGCAATGATTAGGTAAAGTGAACTATGATACTAATATCTAAAGAGACTTCAAATAAACTAAAGCAAGCAAAGCAAGACTAAGAAACTAAGGCAAGTTCGAATTCAGACAATCAAAATATTAGTAGGCTTGAGATAGAGTAATTGGTCAAAGAAGTCTTTCAGCTTAGCTAGTGATGCTTATAAACCCACAACAAGCTATTCCTAGACATATAATTAATAGCTATAATCAGCCCAATTCCTTGGCACTAATTACTTTGCTAAACACATATTTAAGACAATTTCCATTACTGAAATAGATGATCAACAAGCAACAAGAGCAACTAATCTAATTCTATATTATCAATCTACTCCGTAGACATCTGATTCCTTAGGCTAAGATAAGCAAATCTCTTACTTGACTCATTCAGACATTTCATCGCACTTATCAGGCATAAGAGAACCCTAGGATCTAGATCAACTTAGCAATGGCTAATCTAGCATTAAACACAATCAATAAGAAGGAACAATAACACAAGCAGTCACTAATTAAGCCTCAAATTTTTCTATCTCTATCCCATCTCAAAGCCTAAGCAAACTACACACTAATCATGGTGTTACCAAAACCTAAGGTAAAGGAGAATGACTAATAATGATTAGAATGAAGATAAACACCAAATTTGATTGAAAGAACAAGATTCAGAACAGAAATTACAAGGATTCAAGGGAAAACATAAATGATAAAGCTAATATCTAAAGGATTAAGATGAAAAGAAAAATTCCCCTATGTTTTTTGGATCACAACATATATATAGTTTTCAGAAAAACCCTTAGTAAACTGAAATTAAATCAGAAAATAGCTAATTCGGACGCCTTGTATCGACCTGTTACATCGATATGCTGATCGATATGGGTCGGTTGAGGGTTGTATCGACCAAATCTGGTCGATACACTGATCGCTACACTCGCCTCTGGCTAAGGCTTATCGGCTTGTCTCCTCGGTATGACGGTCGATACAATCGCTCTTTTTCTAAAGCATATAGAGCAAAACTAGATCGATACTCTGCTCGATACATGCCTTGGCTTGTGTATCGGTTTGCTCCACATCGATGCGTATGTCGGTACAGATGTCCTGAAGATGGTGTATCGGCTAGAGCAGCTCGATACCATTTGACTTGCCATGTCCCATCGTATCGACTTGGGTTCTCAATATGCACCTCGGTATGATGTCGATATGTTATTCGGTATGCTCTGTATCGACTTGGTAGGTCGATACACTGCTCAATATGGGGCCTTCTCGACCTGGTCTCTTCGCCAGATCACTCCCAGAACTTCTCCCAGTCCTCAAACTCCTTCATTGCACCTGGCAAGTCCTTAAAATGCACTAAATATGCAATGCAACTCCTAACTACACTCTAGATCCTAAATGGGTGCAATTGAGACATGAACATGCAAGAAAAGGTGTTTAAATGCTGAAACTAATGCTAAATGTATGCTATAATAGAGTAATTATGGTGTATATCAACTTCTCCACACTTGCCTTTTGCTTGTCCTCAAGCAATCAAAGACAAATAAGAGAAAGATATTTGAAGGTGGGAGCTCAAAACTAAAGATGCCAATGGAAAAATTGATTCAATGTCCAAGTTATATGTTCTAAGATGCATAAAGTTTGTTCTGCTTTAAAATCTTTAGCCATACTCATCCGAACAAACATTGAGCTCAAGCTTAGCATACACAAGCATTCAAATCAGCCAACTCTTTAACATTCATTAATTGTAACCAATGGATCAAGTTTGTGCATATCAAATAAAAACATTTGGTCTTAGGGACATGTTTATGAGATAAAAATGATCTCATGCATCAAAGGTTCAAACAATCAAGGGATCACTCGATGAAATGATTCTATCTTAGGCAAAATGCTAAAGGTAAATGCACACTCATGCATGCAAGTTAAAGCTCTCTTCTACCCTTTTTAGCCAAAGATGACTCTAATAAACTATAAATCCCAAGTGAAACCCCTAGATCTACCCTTTTTCAAGGCACTTGTCATCTTCTTCTTCTTGATGTGTGGTGGACACTTCTTCTTTGCTTATGTGGTTGGCTTTTTTTTTGGAACTTGCTCTTCTTTGTTGTTTTTGGTGCCATTTTTCATCACCTTTGGTGGATTGCTTGGTCTGGATTCTCCTTTTGGATGACCTTTGTAAGTTTTGTTGTTGTTGGCACCTTTTTTTCTTTAACCTTTAGAGCTTTCTCCTTTTTTACTTAATCACAGAAACAGATTATCTTCCCCACACTCCTTTTCTCAAGAGATGTAACTAAATAAAGATTAAACCACTCAGGACTACCCTTTCCCAATCACCTATCCTAGGACCAAGCTCAAAATGCAAGTTGGTGTCTACAAGATAGCTTCTCCTTGCCAGCCTTATTCCTAACACTTTTTGCCAAGATAAAATCAAAAATGATGCAATGCAAGGCTTCACAACTCTCGCAATAGTGTTTAGGTTTAGAAGGAATGATTAGTTCAATGTGTGGATAATTATCCCATAATGATGAGGATCAGCTACTTAGATCAACAAGAGTGGTAAGAAGGAAAGAAGATGATCCACGTATGTGTATGCGTAGCCAAGTAGACACTCTCAATGCACAAACAACATAATTCAAAATCAGATTAAGGTTCTAATAAAATAGAAATAGAATCAAATCACATCAAGCTTCAGCATAAGTTAAGAGTGTCAATGCAAGAATTCAGAACATAGTGCAGCCTTAACTTCAAACTCACTACTATGCATTCAGACAACAAGTAACCAAGGCATTGCAAACAAATCAAACATGGGAATCTTAACAAGTGTTTATCATCTACTCCCTATGTAAATGTGTGCAAAGCTATATGAAATGCATCTAGACTCAACCTTAGATATGTAAATGCACATAAATGAGTCTTTTTGGTTTCAAAATTTTGAAATTTTTTCTGATTTTCTCTAAGAAATGCATGAATGTATGCGTGAGACTCAAGTATGCAAAAAGGGAAAATATAGAAAACAAAACACAAAGTCAAATGTAATACCCTACTCTCCCACACTTAAATTACACAGTCATCTGTGTAATAGGAGTTATAAAGGAGGTTCAAACAACAAAAAGTGATTGGAGGGACAAAAGGCAGTGCAAAAGAAGTGAAGGATGAAGAGTTAGAGAGACTTACAGCTGTTTTCGTAGCCGATATCGGAGTACAAGGTCGATATGGTCATCGATATGCATCCAAGGCGGTGGGTATCAGGGTGGGTTATCGATATGCTTGTCGATACGACCCTTGGGTGACTCGTACCGAGCTGAGTAGCCGATACAGATGTCGATATGCCTTGACGCGTCTCTCAGAAATCGCCATTGTCCTTTTGTTAAGACATACCGGCATAGTTGTCCTCGATACGCCGGTCGATACACTTGTGCTCTTGGTGTACCGGTGATTTAGGTCGATACACATGTCGATACGCATTGCCCTTGCTTTGTATCGGGATGCATGTTGTCTGGTATCTTGTTCGGTATATGGATAATGAAGGTGTATCGACTGGCATGCACCTCTGTACTCTGCTTGATACGTCACTCTGCCTTGTGTATCGATCTTGGTGTGATCAGTACGTTGGTCGATACGTGCGCCAGTGGGGTGTATCGGATCAGCTATATCGGTATTCAGGTCGATACAAGATCCTTTTTTATGTATCAACCTCCAGCTCGTCCGATATACAGATAGATATAGGCGCAAAGGCACCTATATCGATTGAGTGATACCGATATGTACATCGATACCACTCGAATCAATTTGATTCTCATCAATATGCCGCCCGATACGACCCTCCTTCGAGTCCACCCGCCTTTGTAACTCAGATGTTCTTTCCTGATCTCAACCCATGTGCTTAAGGACACTCCTGGATACTAAAACAAACAAGAAAAACATGAAAAAGCAAATAATATAGACAAGGATAACATGGGAATACCTCTCAAGAGTGCTTGTTTAAAGTCACTAAGCTTGACTTTTCTTACTCATTAGGCAGCTGGAGGTTCTTGGAGGTGAATGTCTGTATCATCTCTAAGTGTGTCACTGGCCATGTAAGGCTTCAGTCTATGCCCATTCACTGTGAAGTCTTCTCCTTCTGGTTTGAACAATGCCAGCTCCATAGGGAAGTACCTCCTTGATCTTGAAAGGTCCTGTCCATTTGGACTTGAGTTTTCCTGGAAATAGCTTCAGCTTTGAGTTGAATAACAACACCTTGTCTCCAGCTTTGAAATCTTTAGGCCTTATCCTCTTATCATGGAAAGCCTTGGTCATCTCCTTGTAAATCCTAGAGCTTTCAAATGCTTCTAGGCGGTGATGAAGATATCCAAGAGGAACCTGACTTAACCAAATCACAAGTGCTTGAAGTACCTACCGGAGCCATTACAAGAGAAAGAGCAAAAGTGTTACAACACAAGTATAATCAAGTTATCATGCTAGCCGCCCAACAAGCTGATGATCAAGAACCCCAAGATGATGTTAAAGTTGGCAAAGGCCCATTCGGAGTTAAAGAAGTTCAAGAAGCATGGCCCTTATTCTCTAAACAAAATGACTACAATCTCTTTGTTGTTTCAAGCAAGGCCCAAGAACCATAAGAGTTTATCACCACGGTCAAAGGGGTTAAAGAGACGAATCATTGAAGCTTAAACAACACAAACAAACAAGGTAAGTGTTTATGATTATTTTCATTAACCTTTGACTAATGTTTACGACCTCTTTTGCAGCATAAACTTAGTCATTGATTTGATTACATTTATGTTAATTATCGCTTAATAAGTAAAGCAAATATTAGCCTGATTTCTTGCATTTTAATTCATGTAATTTATTTCCACAGATTCCAAGAAAGGCATAGCTGTTCGGACTAGTTTATAAAGTTCCCTCTCACAGCAGTGTATTTTTTAACTTTCGATTAATAAAATAACAAATTTTCTTCATAAGATTACATCTAAAAAATCTGGTGTTTATTCTCTTGTTTTTGTCGAGACTAGTACCTCCAAATTCATAGAGAAATCCAGTGTTGTATCAAAGGAGTCTCCATTGCCTTTGTGGTACACATCGATCCCTCAAAAGTTCTTGTTTAGTCCGTTCGCTCGACCACCGGTCATTCTGCCTGTTCGACCAAAACTCTCGTACCACTCGTCTATTGGTGTTACCCGATCCGTCCCACGAACGAGTAACCGTCCCGCTCGACCCATAACACCG